AATTATACTTTTATCTTGGTAAAATGGTTTAATGAGTTGATTGGTCGATTAATCAGTTAGTCGATCAATCGATTGATTGATTGGCCGATTAATTTATTGATCGGTCGATTGATCAACCAATTAATCGAGAAATCGACTGAATAAACGATTGACTAGCCAATTAATCGATTGATCGGTCGATAGGTCAATTAATCGATTTATCAGCCCAGTGGATAATTGATTAGCCGATTAATCGATTGATCGACTGATAATCGATAGATCGGTCAACTAAAAGTCAAGATGGATGTTCGACGTTTGGCAGAAGCAGTTTGTTAGACATGATGTTACGCAGAAAATATTTGCGCAAAGACTGATAGATGTAGGGGGGAAATGATAAACTAAAGTTTTCTTGAAGAGTTGATCGACCGAATAATCGATTGATCGATTGATCGAAATATCGACTATCAATTAATTAGTCAATCGGTCGATTGATTAAACGATCGATCAATCGATGGATCAGCCGTTTAAATGATTAATCGGTTGATTGATCAACTAATCAGCTGAATAACGATCAATCGACCGATAAATCAATTAATCGACCAATTAAACGATTAATCAGTCAAGTAACCTATTGATCGACCGAATAGAACATTGATCGATCTATAAATCGATCGATAAATTGATCGACATATAAACAATTGATCATTGATTAGTCGATTGATCAGCCGATTGATGGCATGGTTAATTATCAATTAATTAGCCGATCGATTGATTCATCAATCAATCTATTGCTTGGATAACTGGGGAAATGCATGCATAATATGGTCTGATTAAAACACAGTATTCATAGAAACCCAACAAAACCAAAAAATCCAACATTTTGTATAAAAGTAAAAAAGTCAAAGTCAACCTTCGATTTCTGATAAAATAAAAAACACATTTTCGACCACTTTCCGACAGACGTGGCAAAAAATCAAAAAAACAGTCGAGAGATCCTCAAGATGTGGAGGAAAACTTTTGATTGTAAAAATCGTGTTATAGGATTATAAGTCATTCCCAATGGACTTGCAGAAAAACAGAGCTCCAATAAAACAAACTCGAAAGTTGTAAAAAAACAGTTTGGCTGAATTTATAAAGCAATTTTAAAGTTAACAATAAAATCTTTGTTAAAAAATATATGTTAAGTAAAATAATAACACAAAAACTTTCGTTTTAAAGACATCTTCAAATTCTTAGTCAAACACAAGTTAAAAAAAAAAAATCAAAAAAAAAAAATTAAAAATAACATTTAAAAAAAAAAATGTTTGCCCACAAATGGAAGAATATGTTATGACGAACGTATTAAGTACTATTAACAAACAAGATAACACGTTTGCAACTTCGCACGTTCGTTAAACCTTCGAATATGTTCGTCGTGATACACAACTTAGAGGACTATGCACATGATCTTTTAAATAAAATATGGATATTTTAATTTATAAATATACGATGCTCCGCCTAGTAATGATTTACAGTACAAAATTTTTCTTTTTTCTTCGCCACTTCCAGTGGTTCTCAAAAATATTTTTTTATTTTTTTTTTAGTTTTTGTTTTACTTTGCAAAAAATCTTGCTCTTGTAGAAGGCATAAAAACTGTACTCTTAGAATCCTAAATAAATGTCGTTTAAACCCAACATTTTTTTTGGGGGGGGCGGGGTTCACGAAGCCTATGTTGTAATTGAACAATTCAAGAGGTTGGTAAAGAACTGTGCTAAAAAAATAAATGTTCCAAAATTCAAATAGTCAATCAATTACTGATTCGTAAGTGAGGGCGAATACACTTATGATAAGTGATTCACTCCTTAACCAACTGGTTGAAAAACTTATTGAAGAAAAAAACAACAGTTTTGTATAATTCATCAGTCGATTGGTCGATGGTTTGATCGATTTGATTGATATATTGATTGATTAGTTTATTTGATCATTTGATTGGTACATCGGTCGAAGGTTGACTGATAGGTTGATTGTTAGATGGACAATCGCCGGATCTGTATGTCGATTGGTCTGTTGATAGTCGTTCTGCTAAATGATTAATCGGTTGGAAACTGATTGATGGGTTTGTCAATCGATTGTATGTTGTGGTGGTTGATTGATTGCTTGTTTGAACAATCGGCCTGTTGGTTGATTGGTGTGTAGCATTGTGTTCGGGTTCGGTGATCGAACCCGAATGTTCGAAACCGAACGAGAACGAGCGTCTAGACTCTCCGAACGCGAACATAAAAATATTTATAAAAAAAAAACAAAACGTTCTCCAAAAAATGTAAAAACAATATATGTTGTGTAAAATAATAATACAAACAACTTTTGCCTTGGAGTTATGCTCAAATTCATAACCAACCTTTAGTTAAAAAAAAAAAAAAACATTGGTTTTTTTTTAGTATGCTTGGCCAAATACCCGAACATATCCGGTGATTCGAAAAAGCTCCGAACATATTCGGTGTGCTACACAGGTTGATTGATCAATCGAATGATTGAAGAGTCGTAAAATGTTTAATGGGATGATAGATTGCTTGATAGGATGGTTAAATGATTGATTTGTTGAATCGTTTGATCGATTGATCAACTGCATGGTTATTGATTGATTGATTTATTATCCCAATCTTTGTTTTTTTATTATTTTTCCTTTCTTTCCTTTTTTTTTTTTTTTTTTTTTTTGAGTGAGCGGAGGGAGTTAGTGTAGAAACGCTTTGCATAAAATGTGAGAGTATATCATTGAAGTGGCTTAGGGTAGGGAAGAAGGAATATTAATCGATTGATCGACCGATTAATCAATTGAATGGTYGATCGGYCGATCAATCGATTGATCTATCAATTAAACGAATGATCGACCGATAAATCGATTGATCGACCTTTCCTCCTCCTCTCGCTTTTTTTTTTTTTTTTTTTTTTTTTTTTTTTTTGSYTTTKWTYAGTMAATTWWTTGGCTAACTGAACGGACAATAATCAATTGATTGGTCGAGAAAAGGCCAGGTGGATGTTCGATGTTTGCTAGAAGTGTCTTGCTGAAACATAATGTTATGTAAAACACTTGCAAAGACTGATAGATGAGATAGTATATCATTGTATTGTATTAAGAAATGATTTAGTCGATTGATCGGCCGATTAATCGATTGATCGGTCGATTAATCAATTCATCAGCCGATTAATCAATTCATCGACTGATTGGCCGATTAAACAGTTGATCGGTCGATTAAATGATTGATCGGCGGATTAGATGATTGATTGACCTTTCGTCTGAGTTGTGGAAGGAATCACCTCTCTCAATACCTTGTTAATTCACTCATTCCTAAACGCAACTATTGCTTCCCAATCCATCGCCGAGCGTGAAGCTTAGTGAAAAAATCAAGAATTCGTAATCGTTTTCTTAAGATTTTTTTTTTTTTTTTCATCACCTCGTAGCATCCATATGGTCATATCTGCTAGTCTCTTACTCCTCCCAACCTCATCATCATTTTCATATATTCCGCACTTTCCTAATAAGTCACTCTTGCTGCTCTTCGACAATGTACCACGTGGCGGACCCAAGAGTCCGAGTCTAGTGCAGTTACCGAAAATTGTACTATTTTGCCACGGGGCAATCCCACATCCTTTGGTCGTGAATTGTTGAATATGATATTCTATAGAATTACTTGCGCAAGAGTGCATCATTGAAGTGCCTTAAGGTAGGGAAGAAGGGATAATTATGCATTTATCTACATCAGAAGGTTTGATGAGTTGATCAACCGATTAATCGATTAGTCAGGATAACGAAGGATAATGAAGGACCATGCACTAAGTTTTCTTTGGGCAGTTCTCCGGCTCACTTTGAAGAAAAAGAGGGCAGGATGACGATCGAGCCTCGATCGGCGGATCTCTGACACTGGAACTGCCGAGGAGGGTCGGGTGCAATCCACATGACAACTTTGCGACAGACTGTGACCGTATAGGAGTTGGACCTACGGACACCGGTCACTTCAGTTGTTAGGACCGAAACTCGGGAACTCGTGAACTCTCATGGGACTTCGTATGCTTGCACGTGTCAGTATCGGACCTTATTTTCGCAGGTTGTGTGTTTGTGCTATTATTATTGCTTTATCATTACTTGGGCCGAAGAGTTTTTAGTATTTTATTTGATTTATTCATTTTGTGTTTTTCGGATTCTGATAGTTGGCGGGTCTTACTTGTGCCTTTATAAGTTATTAGGCCCACCAATATTTGTTTTGTTTGTTTTATTTTATTTTCGATTTTATTCTCGATTTTACAGTAAGAACTGACATTTCGGTTTGTGTCGATGCTACAGTAAGATCCGACTTTTCGGGACCTAGTCTGAATTTTAAGTACCTAGACTGGTTACCGACTATGTACTCTCGGAGCTGGTTTTAAACTATAGGATCTTGTTTTGTTTTGTTGTGAGGTTTCCCGCTCTTACTCTAGATTCCTCGTCCCGTATGGTGTTCGGACCTCTTCCGAACGGGAACTTTCACTCGATAGTCCGTAGTTACGAGTACATGAAGATACTATATATCCGATAGCAGGCAAGGCACGGGCCTCCTTTCTACGACCAAAGCGTTTCGGGCGCACCTTCCTGATGAGTCCGTAGTGGACGGACGAAACCGGTCGAGGGATCTACTATGTCGTTTTGGGGAACTTTGCTATGGTGGCTTTGGGAGCGAGCTGGGTGAAGTGAGAATGGTTTTTGAAGTTTTGAAGGTTGAACCCGTCTTCCGGGTTTGTTCAATGCTTTTGAATGCATTTTCTAAGTGTGCATCTCTGTATCCCTGCTACTGTGATTTTTCCGTCCAGACTGTTGCCGGAGTATTATAGACTTAACAGTGGTTGTGCTAGAACTCTGATTTAGAGTACTCTTAGAGTACTCTTTCTTACGAGTTATCTGTCCTAGTTCTCGATCTAGGTTCTCTGATTTGGTTCCTCAGATTAGCATCCTACGTTAGATGTTTTCGGTGTATACGACCGCTTTTGATTTAACTGCATTACCATAGAGCGCTGATTCGACTGGTTCTGGATAGGACTGAACGTTACGGTTTCGTAGAAAGAGAGTTAGTATTAATAGATATGTTAAACATGAATAATAACGGTGGTGGAAATAACGAGAACGAAGGGAACTATCGGAATGGGGGAGGACGACAATATAACGAGTGTGGTAAGCCTGGCCATTTTGCTCGAGACTGTTGGTCCAAGTGGGGTCGCCTAGTTCAATAAGAGGATGATATCCACGTTTTTGTCAGGGATCTGATGAAGGAGAAGGAGGAAGAACGAAAGAAGAGAAGAGAGGAAGAACAGAAACGATTGAAGGAGGAGGAGGAGCGAAGAAGGGAGATGGATATTGTCAAGAGAACAAGGAGATGAATCTACAGTTACAAGCCGAGATTGCAGAGAAGTGGCGTAAACGGCAAGAGGAGGCTACCGAGAAGGCGAAGGCAGTTGAGAAGATGAGAGAGAGAGAGAAGACAGAGATGGTAGTGAAGAACGTGAGTCTGAAGATCTCATCCAAGATATCGCCAAAGATATCGCCTAAGGACAAGATCAGTAAGAAGGGCAAGTCGAAGAAGAAGAAGGCAATGAGACATAACACGAAGAGGAGAGCAAGCAAACGGGTGGTAGACATGAGCACGTCTTCAGATTCAGACGACACCAGCAGTTCCGACTTCGAAGATTTGAGCGATACGGAGGAAGAAGCTCTACGGGTGATCAGACTTCTTCGACAAGAGAAAAAAAGGACGAAGTCTAAGAAGTCGACATCACGAGGAAGACAGGCTAGGAGAACTCAGAACACTGTCGTCGAGATAGGCGATGATTTAAGGAGAGCTCCCATCAAGACCTATGAGAGAGGGGAATGCTCCAAGAAATCGACCACACCTACGTCTCCTGAGAATGCTGGAATCAATGAACCAAGGACTCTGTTGGAAAGTGGTTACAAAGGCATATCGGCTGGCTGCTCTCGCGAAGGTTTTATGGACTACTCCATGGCTGTAATGCAGGAGTACTCAGCGAAGAAAGTCCATCAACTCCAAGCACTGTGTGAGAAGCAAGGGATCAAGTCCACGAAGAAGGGGGATATGATAATGGAGCTGGTCAAGAGGCAAACTGAACTAACATATGAAGGATGCTTCGATACGCCGAACAAGAAAGGAAAAACGGCCGTTGGCGAGAATCCGGAAGAAGAGAGGACAGGTGCTACTACGACGGGGACAGGGAGGACGACGGTGAACACCAGAGGCAAGACTCGCGAGGCTTCCACCCCACGGGTTATACTCCGTTCGGCACCAGCGAGGAAGATGGACATCACGTCCGATTGATTGACGGTGCCCCCGTCTGCCGGCGAACTGTGGAAGACATTGAGATCCTGCATGGATGCACTGTCTACCCTCTGGGGGCAGGGTGTATCCGGTGAGCGAGTAACGACGTTAGAAAGGAGGATCAGCACGACGATGATTCTCCTCGGCCTTACGGGAGAAGTTAGGTGGATTAGCAAGTATTTGGATTTTATGATGATGGATGATGACACATTAGACCTCAACTCTCGTGTTACCTACATCATCACGAGTCCTTGGGCCAAGCGCGTCTACGTGGGATGTACGTCCAAATCTATAATCCAACGATGGAAGCAACACATCTATGAGGCGAAGGACTGGGAAAATCTCCACATCTTCATAGATGGATGAGGAGATTTGGCCTGGATAAATTCGTAATTATCCCAATCAGACACACTGTGGAGAGGGATGATTTCGAATTTGAGAAATATGTAATTCACAATGTTTCACCCAGTTTGAATACTGTCGGGACTGGGGGACAGAGAGGCGTGAGGACCAGAAGGAGGATAGGAAACCCGAACACAAGGGGCGTGGTGGTCTGACGAGAGGAACATCTACAGTGAGTTTTGAAGTTTGAGGTATCCGGCGTACATCGTTCGTGAACTGGTTGGAGGAGAACAAAGACAGTTGCAGCGAACCTGTGAAGGTGGTGTTCCATGCTGGAATGCAATGGGTTGACGACTGGAAGAAGGTGAGCTTACGGTATGGCAAGTCGACGATCCTCATGCATGGACGTACTATGGAACTCCATGAAGCTAAGAAGGTATGCCAGGAAGGAGGCGTGATGACTGTTCACAAGATCAGACGAACAACTACGACCACGGAAAGACACAAGTCAGTGCTCCACCAACTTCTGAAGAAACCAAGAACGACAGCGACTCTGACCCGCTATTCAATGCAGAAACTAGTCGGACTTTACAGAACAGTTGGCTTGTTTGCATGCAAAGAAACGAGAAACAGACTCAAGATTACACTCGACCGCTCTATTCGACGCAAGACTGGGATTAGCATGAGGAGACGTGTTACGGTGAAGTATCCTTATTCTAACGAGATTTTGAAATCGGAAGTACGGAGGACAACCGAACAGGTGATCGAAACTAGTGTAAGAGACGATACTGTGGCCACGTATGTGAAGAGGAAAGTTAGGATTGTGAACTCAAAGAATAGGACGGTAAGGGAGGTCATTCACAGCCACTGACGGTTCGCACACATGGACGTAGTACACTGCCCGTGTTCGAAGTTTGGCTTGGATAAGAGTTAAGGGCACGTACTGACTAGATTCGCTGATATGAAGGAGGTACCCGTTTTTCTTCGCAATTCTCGAAACATTGTGAAGTGTGCTCTTCCAAATCGGAAGGAAACACTCGTATCCAGCATTATCTCTGCAACTACGCACCTGCACGGACCTACTTATCAACAGTTTAACGTAGACAAGTGTTTTACGACGGTGGTTAGTAATTATGGGACTTGGAATGACTACGAAGTGAGAGAATGGGCTTCAAAATATGATGGTCTGGTCCTCTTTTTATATAGATTATTAGATTTTTTTTTTTTTTTTTTGAATTATGAATATTCATTAGAAAGATCAAATTAAAATCTTTGATTTTCAATCAATGGAATATTCTAATATTCTTTTCAAGATGCTTTAGTWACTAAAGCATCTTGAAAAGAATTAAAAGGTAACCGTCCCAAGGYTATTTGATCATAATTGAGTTCATGTCGATCATATACAGAAAGYTCATACTCTTCAGTCATAGATAAACAATTAGTTGGACGATATTCAACACAATTTCCACAGAAAATACATACTCCAAAATCAATGCTATAATTTTGTAGCTTTTTTTTTCGAATATCTTGTTCAAAATTCCAATCAACTACAGGTAGATTAATAGGACATAATAGGTGACACGGCCTTAGTGTGTCCTGTCTTGTACAGGCATGCGTTTGGGAAGATGTTCGTTTGGAACCCGAATTATCAAAGGGTGCATTGTGATGAGACGAGCGTTTTGAGTACGTGTAGGACGACGTATGAGTCTACACGACTCGGAGATGTTGGTAATTGGAAGACGAATGGGAAACTCGGTAGGACGTACGTAATCCCGAAAGATAAAGATTTCAACCGCTGGAGATCGATCGCTCCGGCATGCGATGATCCGGCCATGATGGGCCAACGAAGATGTGCGAGAGCTCTACATTGTCTGATTACGAGATATGCGGGACAACTCAATTTCCATTTTGGGTCTACGAATCGGCTTGCCGATCGAATCGGAGATGCTGCGAAGTCACTGAGGAAGTTGGGATGTGTGTCAGCCATAGGGCGCTGCTATGATATCAAGGAGATGTTATGCTCGATACCCCATGATGTTGTGATAGATGCGGTGTTTGAATTGCTACGGTTTTTCTCTGACAGAGGATGGAGACAAGTCCGGGTGGCAACACGAGGGAAGGTATGTGTGATGTCCACAGAAGGCAAGGGAGAAGCGGGCTATGTGAAGGTCAGATTTGATGGCATCTTTAAAATGGTTAGTTACGATTTGGATCACGCCTACAAGCGTTGCGGAACGACGATCCGGAGACAGGTAGTGGGAATTCCTATGGGAAAGACCACTAACCCGGTTCTCGCTACCATGACGTGTGCCATGGCGGAGTCGAACTTCCTTCGCTCATTGGGATCTGACAGAAAGCTGGTGCTAGGATGGAGGATGGTAGACGATGTATCGATTATTGTCGGATGCGACGACAACGATCACTCCCAAGAAAAGGCGGCCCTTATTCGTGGTAAATTCGAGAATGCGTACGACTAGAGATTGGTATTGGAACGGAAGGACGCAGACAACAACGTATGGAGTTTTATTGGAGGACGGATGTACGTTATGTCTGATCCCCTTCAGATTCGTTATGCACAAGAGACGAAGAATACGAACCCGCTCAAACAACACGGAGAGCTTCGGTATCAATCTATGCAGGACTTCGCTAGTTATTCCGATAAGAAGATGAAAAAGGGGGTGTTGTCGGCTACGCTTAAGAGACTTTGGTACTTAGCAACCTCCAGCATGCTCAGTATTGGTTTCATAGCTTACGCTGTTATTGAAAGCCACCTCCGGGGATACCCCCTGGAGGTTTCACTTGGAGCCGTGGCCAAATTGGTCAGGATAACGAAGGACCATGCACTCAGTCTTCTTTGGGCAGTTTGCCGGCTCACTTTGAAGAAAAAGAGGGCAGGATGACGATCAAGCCTCGATCGGCGGATCTCTGACACTGGAACTGCCGAGGAGGGTCGGTTGCAAGCCACATGACAACTTTGCGGCAGACTGTAACCGTACAGGAGTTGGACCTACAGACAGCGGTCACTTCAGTTGTTAGGACCGAAACTCGGGAACTCGTGAACTCTCATGGGACTTCGTATGCTTGCACGTGTCAGTGTCGGACCTTATTTTCGCAGGTTGTGTGTTTGTGCTATTATTATTGCTTTATCATTACTTGGGCCGAAGAGTTTTTAGTATTTTATTTGATTTATTCATTTTGTGTTTTTCGGATTCTAATAGTTGGCGGGTCTTACTTGTGCCTTTATAAGTTATTAGGCCCACCAATATTTGTTTTGTTTGTTTTATTTTATTTTCGATTTTATTTTCGATTTTACAGTAAGAACTGACATTCCGGTTTGTGTCGATCCTACAATAAGATCCGAATTTTCGGAACCTAGTCTGAATTTTAAGTACCTAGATTGGTTACCGACTATTACCTCTCGGAGCTGGTTTTAAACTATAGGATCTTGTTTTGTTTTGTTGTGAGGTTTCCCGCTCTTACTTTAGATTCCTCGTCCCGTATGGTGTTCGGACTTCTTTCGAACGGGAACTTTCACTCGATAGTCCGTAGTTACGAGTATACGAAGATACTATATATCCAATAGGAGGCAAGGCACGAGCCTCTTTTCTACGACTAAAGCGTTTCGGGCATACCTTCCTGATGAGTCCGTAGTGGACAGACGAAACCGGTCGAGGGATCTATTGTGTCGTTTTTGGGAACTTTGCTATGGTGGCTTCGGGAACGAGCTGGGTGAAGTGAGAATGGTTTTTGAAGTTTTGAAGGTTGAACGCGTCTTGCGGGTTTGTTCAATGCTTTTGAATGCATTTTCTAAGTGTGCATCTCTGTCTCCCTGCTACTGTGGTTTTCCAGTCCAGACTGTTGCCGCAGTCTGCCTCTCTAGATCAAAAGGTTTGATGAGTTGATCAACTGATTAATCGATTAGTGGATCAATCGATAAATACAACTTGTTTTTTTTTTTTTTAAGGTTTGTAAAAGTTGGCGGGAAAGTAAGGTGAGTTGGCTATGACTTAAACATCAGAAGAATGATGATAAGAGGATACCGAAGTTTGAGTGTAGGGAAATGTTGAAATGAAAGCAAAGATTTATTACAAAGACTAACTATCAATTGGGTATGCTGCAACATGATTGAGTCCGTCGATCAGATGGTTGATCTGTTGGTGGAGACGTTTTAGTTCATCCATGTTCCGTTTTTCGGGGAGACTGAAAAACCATCAGATCGATTGTAGTTGAGTGAAAACATGCATTCAAAACAATCGAAAGAAAAAAAGATTATTGAATGTTTTGGATTCTTGGAAACCATAAGAACTGAAAAGCATTGAATGTCGGTAATTGCGAAAGGCCGAAAAAGTGTTTGAGCACGAAAAGATAATCAAAAAATGCATTAACAATCCCATGCGCACTCTTATCGTTGCTTGAAAACTCTTTGGATTATTGTCTATGTGTCTATTCAACGTGCAACGGAAAAGTTTCAACGTCGTTGTACCCGTTGAATAGGCCTCGGGGCCCCGTTGAATCCCCGTTGAATAGTACAATGGGCCCTCCCCGTTGAATACTGTTCAACGGGGAGGGCGCATTAGGCCTCGAACACGTCGCTGGACGTGCGTGGAGCAAAAAAAAAAATCATCCCGTTGAATCCCGTTAAATTCCGTCAATTTTTTTTATTTTTATTTTTTTTGCCTCTAACCGATCCTAGAACTGTGAGCCGTGGGTGTCCTAGGGTGTTGTAGAGGTCAGTCAGTGTGTGCACAGTGATCACCTGGAACTGTGAGCCGTGGGTGTCCTGGAATATGAGACCACCTCCCAACCCATCCTCACGTCAATACTCCTAGCGCACCCCCTATCCCACTATTCAACCTCAGTGTGACCAACTTGAACACTCAGGACCATTGCCCTACCAACGGGCAGGCAACTTGGACCGAGCAGCAGTGATAGGCACAAGGGCTGATAGATTGTCCAGCCCTTGGTGGAAGCGGAATCGGACGAACCTTATCGAACAGGAACTTCGGACTCCAGGCCCAGACAATGAACTACAGGCCCCATATATATATATAGCCACCG